GATCGCCCACCCATTATCCATTTAATGCACGCCAAACTCTGTCTGCCATTGACTTTGCGCTTTTTAAAGGCATCAGGCGTGAATTGCTGGCCATCTCTGACTCATTTGAGCTCAGCTCTGACCATCTTCCGTTGCAAGTTCAGCTGGTCGAGAAGCCAATCACTAGCAAAGCAAAAGGCCATCTTCTGCATCTGAATGCAAACATTAACAGATTCCAGAGCTATCTAAACGACAGAATCTTGCTCAACACTGAGATCAACAGTGAGGACGACGTCGATGATGCTGTTAATATTTTCGTCAAAAACATTGAAGATGCTGCAAACTATGCGAATCCACAGAGCCCACGCAAGATAACGAGAGCTAGATTTCGAGTTAATAGACAGACTCTGCAACTTGTCGAGGCCCACAAGCAAATCAAGCGCTATCTCGTTCGAAATCGCAATCCTTTGGCGAAGCAGCTCTGCAACAGGCTGTCGAATCGCATTCGCAAAGAGCTCATAGATGCTAGGCAGAAGTATGAGGAAGAGCTATTTAGATCTATCGATCCAACTGATAGATATAGTATGCAGAAACTCTGGCGACTGACCAACGAAATTAAGCGACAGCCTGCCCCAAATCTACCGCTATTGAAGTCCTCCAGTGGCAATGGCTCTAACGCTCATAACGTTTGGTGCAAGACTACTGCCGAGAAGGCTGAAACATTTGCTGCAAGTCTTGAACAGCGATTCCATCCCATCGTGACCACGTCGCCCAGTGATCTGGCTGAGATTGAGGCTCAAGTTAGCCAGCCATCTTTGACTCCTTCAGTCTCTTTTCGGCCAGTCACTGCGGCTGAAGTCATCAGTCACATCAGCACGCTTGAGAACAAGAAAGCGGCTGGATTGGATCAAATTGATAACCACACCATCAAAGCGCTGCCAATGAAGGCTATTTTGTATCTTGTTTTGATCTGCAACAACTCCTTTAGACTGGGTCATTTCCCCTCTTGCTGGAAGCTAGCGATGGTGAAGATGGTGCACAAGCCTGGCAAGCCTACGCAACATGTTTCATCATACAGGCCAATAAGTCTTCTATCTGGCCTCTCGAAGATACTGGAGCACTTAATATTGAGCCGTATGCTTGAGCAAGATGCTCTTATAAATGCGATTCCAAGCCATCAATTCGGATTCCGCAAAGCTCACTCAGCTGAACAGCAATTGGGTCGAGTCACCCAGTACATTATTAAAGCATTTGATGACCATAAATACTGCTCTGCTGTCTATATGGACATTAAAGAAGCTTTTGATCGAGTGTGGCATACAGGCTTGAAATACAAACTCAAGTCACTACTGCCGATCGCTCTCTATCGCATTCTCTGTTGCTATCTAACAGATCGCTCTTTTATTGTTGAGTGCCACGGTGGATGTCGCTCAGGAATCAGGCAGATTCACGCTGGTGTGCCACAAGGCAGCCTGCTTGGGCCAGTGCTGTATAATATATACACCAGCGATATACCAGCTACAACTTGTCTTCATGGAGTTCGTATTGCCACCTATGCTGATGACGTCATTGTTCTTGCAGCAGACTATCGACAAGCAGATGCGCTTAACTCACAGCAAGCTTACATGGATAGACTGGCTGAATGGGCGCGCAAGTGGTGCATTACAATTAATGCGAATAAAACTATGCACATCATGCATACACTCAGGCCTATAGCACCATATCAGGCTATTCGCATTGGCAACGAAACTATTGAAAATGGCACCTCGCATCCATATCTGGGCGTTACGTTAGATTCTAGACTGCGCCTCACCCAACATGTCACTACGGTCGTTACTAGGGTTAGGGCTAGGCTTAAAAAGATAGATTGGCTCATTAATAAAGATAGTAAACTATCTCTAAAAACTAAAACTATCATATACAAGCAGCTTGTTGCCCCACTATGGCAATACTCGCTACCTGTATGGGGTGCTCTTCTATCTGAGACCCAATTCAGCCGCATCAGAGTTATTCACGATAAAGCTTTAAGAGCCATATCTGGTGCTCAGTACTTTGTCTCTAATGCACGCATCAGATCTGCACTGGATGTCTTGTCTGCTGATGAAATATTCAATAATCTCTGCACAAAGTACTTCGACAGACTACGTGTACACAGCAACAACGATGCTAGAAAGATTGTCTATGATCCGTTCATCCCACAGCGGCTAACTATGCCCAGATACACGAATCTCATTAACACTCTGCTGGCTGATGATATTGCTCTGCGCAGTCAGCGACAGCGGCAAAGAGAAGCTGATGAAAATGCTGAGTTTAGAGAAAGATACCGTCGCCTACATCCGCCAGAGTATGGCCCGATCACCTTTCGCGAGCACAGCCGACGACTAATAGCGGAGCGATTCACGAGATTGTATCCAGATCCTCCTCGCAACTCCAGTGAGAATCGACGCAACAATGCTCCACCGATCGGCCTGGCTGCACACACACCTGCTTCTGGAGTGGCTCATAATATAGGTGACGCAGCTGCTTTGCAGCCGCGCCTGCCTATATTCCAGCAGTTGGCGCCGTTACCACCCACCATGGCCCCCATGCGCCCACCCATCATCGACCTAGATGACCTACCGGACTGATTAAATCTACTCTTCTCAAGAGGCTTCTAGCCAGACACACAAATAAGTATCAAATCTAATTGTCATTCAAATTGATCATTTGTATATACAAATATCACAATTAGCAACAGGCTATTGCACTATTTACTTAGAAGAGTAACTAAACCAACAAATAACATACAATTTAGATGTCTATTTTCAGCTCAAAAGTTTATTTTCAGCACATATATACATATGTGCAGCGAACATATATAGTGGTGCTTGCGCCTACAACATATGTACAATTTGAATGAGCCTGAAACTAACTTAAATAAATGCCCTATTGGCCGCGGAGCCCACTTGGCTAGTTCTCCTTGCTCTAGTGGTTGTACTCTGCAAAGAAAAATCAACATTAGAAATCTTTTAACACTTTTATTAAATTTTGCAAAACTCACATACCAGCCAGTCTGATCGCAATCTATGCAATTCCTCTGTCTTCAGTTTCTGAGCTCCCTTGCATTTTGCACTGCAGCAGCTATATATATAAAAAGACAGCAATTAATCAGTATACATTTTTAATATTATTAATTTCACTTACTTACTTATTAATATTTATACATATGTATCAATTAGCAGCATCAAATTTGCATTTAATGCAATTTGCAATCAGCTGACTTTGTTTTGTTTTGATTGTGCACTCCGATAGGTATTTACATATAACCAGGGATGCATCGTCACATGTACAATTGCACTTGCAATATATTGAATTAATACTTTTGAAATCAAAACTACTAAAACGAATTGAAAAGCTAATTTTTATTCAAATTATTAAATCCTATAAACTTATAACTATATATAATTAAATTAAAAACAATTATATTATAGCAGCAACTAAATTAAAATATATGTATGCATATGCGATACATTGCACTATTATTGCTATATATGCATTGTAAATATGTAAACTAAACTTAATAATAATTAAAAATACTAGTAAATTAATTAATTACACTAACTCTAGATCTTATCGCCAATAATTATTATCTATTGCTAATTCTTATTGTTCATAGTCTTTTACTTGCCATATATTCATGTTATTACATTCGATAACTCGCCGATAATTACATATGTAACAACTTTGCACTTTGTGTTGACAGTTGTGCAGATTCTTATAGCCATTGAAACTTAAATGTAAATATGTAAAGTATATTATTATTCTTATCAATTTTTATTAACTTTATGCAATTAAAACTATTTTTTAACTTATACATGTAATGGAGAAAATGACCAGACCTTGTCTCGACTTTTCTCTATAACTCCAATTGGCCACTTTGAGCTGATTTCTCACTGCATCTTGCAGATGCTTATAAATGAAATATCTGAATTATATTAAATAATGCTACTTCTTACTATTGTAAAATATTAATCTTAATTAACTACTTAGTCTATTATCAGCTATTCAAGCACTCTTTTGTATCTTATTACCTTAAATTTGCTCTTTATCTTTATATATTGTAAAATTAAGCTGCACTGTTATTTTTGTGCACTTATTGCTATTTAAATTAATTCATATTATGAAAAGTTACGACAAATATCGACCTTTTGTATACTTTTAAGTATCTATAGGCGCTAATCATATTCTTAAGAAATGCTATTGTAAAGTATTGTTTGAATAAAAAGTATCTCCACTCTCTCTTCCCCTCGCCATGCAGCTGCAGGACAGCTGATCATGTTTGAGATGGGAAGAAGGGGAGATCATTATTGTGTGTTCTCTGGTAACATACGAACAGAAAAAAAAAAAAAGTGTGCAGGCAATAGAATAACAAGAAAATCAAGCCATAGGTATCTGGGTGTGCAGCTAGATGACAGGCTGCTCTTACACACCCATATTACAACGCTGATCGGCAAGCTTCGATCTAGAAGCAATCAAATAAGCTGGCTTTTGAATACAAACAGCAAACTGCCATTAAAAATTAAAGTCATGCTCTATAAGCAACTAATTGCCCCAATATGGCAATATGCGCTGCCTGTCTGGGGCTCTCTTGTCACAGATCGCAGTTTTCAGCGCATCCAGGTTGCGCAAAACAAAATTCTCCGAACCATAGCGGGGGCGCCATGGTACGTGAGCAATGACAAGCTACATATGGACCTAAAAGTTAGCTCTATTGATTCCATTTACGAAGTTATGTGCGCCAACTATGTGCGCCGGCTTCTTAATCATCCAAATCTAGCAGCACGGCAAATTGCCTCCGAGCCATTTATACCGCAGCGTTTACAGAGACAGCGATATACTGCTATGATAAATACGCACTTAAGCTCTATTGTAACGCAAGTGAGAAGAGAGCAAATATGGGCCAGAATCCGCTCGCAAAGAAATGCTGTCGGTTTCTCCAGGGATTGTGCGATTGCAAGTGCAAAATCTAGAGAAATTGCGCTAGCTGCTGCGAAATCAATAGCAAATGTTACTAACGAAGAAAACTTAGAAGTTAATACTTGTATCACTATTGACTTAACTGATAATGACTGCTCTGTTTCCATCCCTGATGTCGCCTCTCGTCGCATAGATGGCACCAGAGCTCTTAACACAATAGATGTCCATGCAGTTTCCAGTACTGATTCAGTATCGGTTGCTGAATCTCATCGTGTTGCCAACACTGATGCTGACATTATCATTATCTGTGATTCGGAGTCTATTGCGGATGAATCAGCTGCCACTAATGCTGTGTCCTACACTGCTAAAAATTTGTGTTCTGGTGGTGCCATTTTGATTGACGGTGCCAGCGCCATTGCCTACACCGCAGATGCCATTGATGACAACAACAACAACAACAATGACGACGACAATGATGTCCATGCAGTTGCTTATGCGGCTGCAGCCATTGCATGTGCTGGCCGATTGGGTGCCAGTGCTGATGGCATTGCTGGTGCCACTGTCAGCTTTAATGCCAGTCAACATTCAGGCATTGGTGCGAGACCATCTGATGTCCATGTCGATGCCGATTCTGATGATGATGCCAATTCTGGTGCTAGTGCTAATGCTAGTGCTGGTGCCATTTCCATTGCCAGTGCCAGTGATGATGATGAGAAGATGATGCTGGAAATAAGAACAAAAATCCAATTAGAATGGCAACTGCAATTGCAGTTGCTGATTCTGCAACAGATGCCATCAATTCCACTCAGCTGTACTCCTCCTCCTTGGATGTTGTCACTCATCATGCCAGATTGCCGGTGTTTCGGCGACTGGCTGTCACCGCCTTTGATGCTCGTCCCCCTCCACCGGATGAGCTGCCATCTGATGAATAACCTGTTCAAGAATTGGACAAAAAACACTTACACACATACACTCACTTACAATATTAATATTAGTATTATTAGTCTTTATTAGTAATATTTAGTATTTTTATTATTTAATTGTTAATCTCTATCTAGTTTTAATAATGTTATTCAAATTCACTTAGCTTGTAATCACACAATTTCGCATACGACGCCATTTCAATATCGATAAGTTTCACCCACTCACTCACTCACACACATACACACACATACTTAGTTCTTAGCAGTTTGCATCCATGTTAAGATTCGAATAAGATGTGGCAGCCCTGCGTGGCTGTTTAACATCACAGCAAGCCAATTGAGCTCAATTATGCAAAAGAATCGATAATTGATAATCGATAGCATAGTTGAGCGCCAATTTATTCCAAATTCAAATACTCGGTATATATTAGGGATACACATTGCTGATGCAAATTGACTGTTGCAGCGTCAGTCCTTTTTTCAGCCATCTGCCGGCTGTTGCATCATCTAACTCACTCTCTCTTTTCCATAGAGGGAGCTTGTTATTTGATGCAACTGGAGGCTGGAATTGGCTGAATTTAGGGAATGAAAGTTCTTTGAAAGTTCTATGGTGGAGGCGCTGGGCAGTCTTGCTCCGAGAATAGTCTGCAGATGAGCGGCTTGAAGGCGACACGCGACACGCGATCCGCGATCCGATCAGTGGCGGCCGACGGCAGACGCCCACCTCTGGATGTCCAAGAATCTAGATTGGCTAGACAGAGAGTAGACAGTAGACAAAACAACAACCTGCTATCTTCTCTGGGTGACACTTTTATAGTCGGTGGTGACTGGAATGCGAAAAGTCAGTGGTGGGGCAACGCCAGATCTTGTCTCCGTGGCCGAACGCTAGTCAATAGTATTCTACAAGTGAATTGCAACATTCTGGCAACTGGGTCGCCCACCCATTTTCCGTTTAATTCACGCCAAACTCCGTCTGCCATTGACTTTGCGCTTTTTAAAGGCATCAGGCGAGATTTGCTGGCCATCACTGACTCTTTCGAGCTTAGCTCTGATCATCTCCCGTTGCAAGTCCAGCTGGTTGAGAAGCCTGTCACCAGCAGAGCAAAAGGCCACTTGCTAGATTTGAATGCTAACATCAACAAATTTCAGAGCTATCTAAATGACAAAATTTTGCTCAACACTGAGATCAACAGTGCAGACGATATTGATGATGCGGTGAATATTTTTGTCCGAAACATTGAAGATGCTGCAAACTATGCGAATGCACAGCACCCACGCAAAATAACGAGGACTAGATTTCGCGTAGATAGACAGACTCTGCAACTCATCGACGCCCATAAGCAAGTCAAGCGCTATCTCACACGCAATCGCAATCCGATCCTCAAGATGCTCTGCAACAGGCTGTCGAATCGCATACGCAAAGAGCTCATATATGCTAGGCAGAAGTATGAGGAAGAGCTATTTAGATCTATCGATCCAACTGATAGATATAGTATGCAGAAGCTCTGGCGACTGACCAACGAGATCAAGCGGCAGCCTGCCCCAAATCTACCGCTATTGAAGTCCTCCAGCGGCAATGGCTCTAATGCGCAAAACGTCTGGTGCAAGACAACTGCCGAAAAGGCCGAAACGTTTGCTGCAAGTCTTGAGCAGCGTTTTCAACCTATTGTGACTACGCCACCCAGTGTTCTGGCTGAAATCGAGGCTCAAGTTAGCCAGCCATCTTCGACTGCTTCAGTCTCATTTCGGCCAGTCACTGCGGCTGAAGTCATCAGTCACATCAGCACGCTAGAGAACAAAAAGCTGCTGGATTGGATCAAATTGATAATCACACTATTAAAGCGCTGCCATTGAAGGCCGTGTTGTATCTTGTGCTCATTTGCAACAACTCACTACGACTGAGTCATTTCCCCTCGAGCTGGAAGCTAGCTGTGGTGAAGATGGTGCATAAGCCTGGCAAGCCTACGCACCATGTTGCATCATACAGGCCAATAAGTCTGCTGTCTGGCCTCTCTAAGATACTTGAGTATCTGATTTTGAGCCGTATGCTGGAGCAAGATACTCTTGTAAATGCGATTCCAAATCATCAATTTGGATTCCGCAAGGCGCATTCAGCTGAGCAGCAATTGGGTCGAGTTACTCAATTTATTATTAAAGCGTTTGATGACCGCAAATACTGCTCTGCTGTCTATATGGATATCAAGGAAGCCTTTGATCGAGTGTGGCATACAGGCTTGAAATATAAGCTCAAGATGATATTGCCGGATGCTCTCTACCGCATCCTCTGCTGCTATTTAGTTGATCGGACGTTTATTGTTGAGTGTCACGGTGGCTGTCGCTCAGGTATTAAGCAAATTCACGCTGGTGTGCCTCAAGGTAGCTTGCTCGGGCCTATCTTGTATAATATATACACCAGCGACATACCAAGGCCAACTCGCCTACGTGGGATATTGATTGCCACTTATGCTGACGACGTCATCGTTCTTTCGGCTGACTCTCGACAAGCAGTCGCGCTCAGTCAGCAGCAGGCGTATATGGATAGTTTGGCTGAATGGGCGAGCAAGTGGTGCATTACAATTAATGCAAACAAGACTATGCATATCATGCATACGCTTAGAGTTATAGCGCCATATCAGGCTATTCGCATTGGCAACGAAACCATTGAAAATGGCACTTCTCATTCATATTTGGGTGTTACTCTAGATACGAAACTGCGCTTCTCACAACATGTCACTACGGTCGTTACTAGGGTCAGGGCTAGGCTTAAAAAGATAGATTGGCTCATTAACAAAGATAGCAAATTGACGCTGAGAACAAAAGTCATTATTTACAAACAGCTAGTTGCTCCACTTTGGCAATACTCGCTGCCTGTATGGGGAGCTCTGATATCTGAGGCGCAATTCAGCCGCATACGAGTCGTACACAACAAAGCTCTGAGAGCCATTTCTGGTGCTCAGTACTTTGTTTCGAACGCGCGCATCAGAGCTGAGTTGCAAGTCCTGTCTGCGGATGATATATTCAACAATCTCTGCGCCAAATACTATGATCGACTCCGGGTCCATACCAACAACTTGGCCAAAAACATTGCCTATGACCCGTTCATCCCACAGCGGATAACATTGGCAAGATACACGAGTCTCGTAAACACGCATTTGGCCAATGACATTGCTCTACGCACCCAGCGACTACTACAACGGGAGGCCGATGAAATAGCTGAAAGTAGGGAGCGATTCCTTCGCCGACGGGAGGCTCAGCAACACAACGAAGCTGCACAAGCAGCAGCCCAACAGCCGCAACGACTACCTGTCTTCGAGGGTATTGCGCCAATGCCGCTGCCACTACCACCACCATCACCACTTGCTGCCTATAGGGTCCTATTTAGATCACATAGGGATCAGTCATAAAATTTGCATTTAATGCAATTTCCAATCAGCTGTCTTAACTTTTTGTAATTTAAGCTAATTTTAGCTCAAGCCCATACTTGAGAAAATGACCAGACTTTGTCTCGACTTTTCTCTTTTATTCCAATTGGCCACTTTGGGCTACTTTTCTCTGTGCATCTTGTAGATGCTTATTAATGAAATAATTGAATTATATTAATTAATGCTATCTATTACTATTGTTAAACTTAAACCTTACTTATCTATTTAGTCGTTAATCAGTTACCCAAGCACTTTATTGTTAATTTCTAATATCTTTAAATTGCTCTATTATAAGTATTTTGTAAAATTAAGCTGCACTGTTATTTTTGTGCACTTATGGCCATTTAAATTTAATCATTTAATGATAAGTTTCGATAAATATAGTCCTTTTTTAGATTTTAATTATCTCATAGGCGCTATTTATATTCATAAGAAATGCTATTGTGAAGTATTAATTGAATAAAAAGTATCTCCGTACTATCTTCCCCTCGCCATGCAGCTGCTGGTCAGCTGATCATGTATGAGATGCGAAGAAGCGGAGATCATCAATGTGTGTTCTCTTGTAACATACGAACAGAAAAGCCCTAAAAAGAAGAATGCTCAGCTGGATGCTATAGATCTGGGTGACAGTGAAGAGGAGAACCTACTAGCAGACGACACCGTTGTGACTACAAGGACTGAGGACACGCATCAAAAGGCATCTGGCCTTGTAAATAAAGCTCGCATTGCTGCAAACGTGAAAGCTACACCGCCTAATTCTGCTGCTGCTGCTGCCGCTACCACTTCAACTGAAGCAACTGACGCGCACCTCAACGCGAAGCCTGCGCCGCTATTTCTGGCAAATGTCACTGACATTATGCCACTTTTAATTCGCCTGGATGACGCTGTCGGAGAGGAGAATTATACCACAAAGCCCACTGCAAACCATGGTATCAGGGTGCAGTGCAAGGACATCGCTACTCATCGCAAGCTGGTAAAGTACCTTGACGAAAATAAAATTGAAAACTATACTTTCCAATTGAAATGTGAGCGCGGGTTTAGAGCGATTATCCGCCATCTACACTATTCCACTCCGGATCAGTGGATCCGCGACCAATTAGCTAAGCTGGGGCATACCGTTCGATTCTTGAGGGGTATCAAATCTCGCTTCTCTAAGGAGCCACTTGACCTCTTTGAGGTTGAACTGGTCGCCAACGCAAATAATGCTGACTTGCTACAAGTCACGGCTCTGGGAAACCAGCGAGTAAGAGTCGAGAGGCCGTTCAAATCTGCAGAAGTAGCCCAATGCCATAGGTGCCAGAAGTTTGGGCACACAAAAAACTATTGCCGCCGCCCTTTTGCTTGCGTCAAATGCGGCGAAAATCACGCCTCTATTGACTGCAGCAAGCAAAAAGGCGACCAAACGCCAGCAAAATGCGCCAACTGCTCGGGCCCACACGCTGCGAGTTACAAGGGATGCCCCTCCTACAAAGAGGCCTGCAAGAAGCGAGAGCCCGAATCGGCGGCACAGCTCAGCCAGATTATAAGGACTTTAACAAAGCCAGCTCCCACTACAACTGTTCAGGGCAGTAGAACAAACTTGCCAAATCTTTTTCAGCAAGCCCCCCCTCAGCCACGACCTCAAACTGCTAATGCTGGGCCCAGCTACGCATCTGCCCTCCGGGCGGGTCTCCAATTTAAGCAGCCAGCGGCGCCGGCAGCCAATAATAGCCAGCAACGCCAATCAAGGCAGAATATCACTAAACGTGCCCAACAACAACAGCAACAACAACAACAAGCCAGATTGTCTAGGCAAGCAAGCGCTCAGCGGCCAGCGCAGCCAAACAGAAGCCGCAGCTTAAGTACTCGCCGTAGGCCCCCTCCTATTGTATCTGGGGTGACACACCATAGTAATGGGGTGGGCTTTCCTCTTAATTTTGAGCAGCCTAGATATGCTAACATGCCAGCTATGCCATTACAAGTTAACTCTAGATTAGAGGCCAAAATTGACAAACTTATAGAGATGATGACCACATTGACTGCTTGCCTATTAGCTAGAGTTGGTCCAAGTGAGCACATAAATGTCTAATAATGTATCTGATGCACATATTGCTAATAGACGCAGCTGCACACTGCAGACTGCTGTATCTAATAGTACCAACAACATTAACATCTCCATATGGAATGCTGCTGGTATTACAAATAAGCTTATTGAAGTAAAGCAATATGTTATTAAGCATAATATAGACATTATGCTAATATCTGAAACCCATCTGACGGACAAGGACAACATTGTAATTGACGGATACATAATTTATTTGGCAAACCACCCTACAAATAGGCGCAGAGGTGGCGCAGCTTTTATAATCAAACAAAACATCTGCCATTACGCTATGCGCTGCTCATCCTTGGACTCGCACCAAAGTGTTGAAGTATCAGTCAGCTTACAAAACGGCAAGCACGTAAATATTGTGGCCATTTACTGCCCACCGCAAGTAAGCTGGACTGCGCAAGACTTCAGCAATCTTCTGAATTTGCTGGGCGACACGTATCTTGTAGGTGGTGACTGGAACGCAAAGAGCCAATGGTGGGGAAACGCCAGATCCTGTATTAGAGGCAGAACGTTAGTAAACAGTATTTTCCAAGAAAATTGCAATATTCTGGCAACTGGGTCGCCAACGCATTACCCTTTCAACTCACGCCAAACTCCATCTGCCATAGACTTTGCGCTTTTCAAAGGCATCAGGCGAGATTTGCTGGCCATCACTGACTCTTTCGAGCTAAACTCGGATCACCTCCCATTGCAAGTCCAGCTGGTTGAGAAGCCGATCATCAGCAAAGCAAAAGGCCATCTTCTGGATTTGAATGCTAATATAAGCAAATTTCAAAGTTACCTAAACGACAGAATCTTACTCAACACTGAAATCAGCAGTCCAGATGATGTTGATGATGCTGTTGATATTCTTGTCAAAAACGTCCAAGATGCTGCAAACTTTGCCAATGCGCAGTGTCCACGCAAGATAACCAGATCTAGGTTTCGAGTCAAAAGCCAGACTCTCCAGTTGATTGAGGCCAAGAAGCAAATCAAACGCTATCTTCTACAAAGCCGAAATCCCCTGGCAAAACAGATCTGCAATAGGCTGTCAAATCGCATCAGCAAAGATATAAAATCTGCAAAGCAAAAATATGAAGAAGAATTATTCAGCTCTATCGACCCCACAGATAGATACAGTATGCAAAAGCTCTGGCGACTTACCAACGAAATCAAGCGACAGCCGGCTCCAAATCTGCCACTATTAAAGTCCAGCGATGGCAATGGCTCTAACGCCAATAATGTATGGTGCAAAACAACGGCGGAAAAAGCTGAAGTCTTTGCTGATAGCCTTGAGCAACGCTTCAAGCCTCTCATCTCTGCATCACCTGGCGACTTGGCCGAAATTGAGGCGCAAATTAGTCAGTCACCAGCGTCTGCCTTGGTCTCTTTTCGGCCAGTCACAGTGACAGAGGTCATTAATCATATTAGCACGCTGGAGAAGAAGAAAGCAGCTGGTTTAGATAATATCGACAATCACACTATCAAAGCGCTGCCAATGAGGGCAATACTATACCTTGTTTTAATATGCAACAACTCACTTCGAATGGGCCATTTTCCTACCAGCTGGAAGTTAGCACTGGTCAAGATGATACACAAGCCCGGCAAGCCCACGCAGCATGTATCATCATACAGGCCAATAAGTCTCTTGTCTGGCTTATCTAAAATATTAGAGTTCTTAATTCTGAGCCGTATGCTTGAGCAAGACGCACTTACCAATGCTATACCCAGCCACCAATTTGGCTTTCGCAAGGCCCACTCAGCTGAGCAACAGCTTGGGCGAGTCACGCAGTTCATTCTGAAATCATATGAAGAACATAAGTATTGCTCTGCCGTTTACTTGGACATAAAAGAAGCATTTGACAGAGTGTGGCACTCAGGTCTGAGATACAAACTCAAGATGCTCTTACCTGACGCTCTGTATCGAATCCTTTGCTCCTACTTAGCAAATCGATCATTTATTGTTGAATGCCATGGAGGATGCCGCTCTGCAACCAAGCAAATACACGCTGGGGTGCCTCAAGGCAGCCTGCTTGGGCCAGTGCTGTATAACATATACACCAGTGATATTCCAAGCCCAACTTATGCCTCTGGAAATAAAATCCTCTTAGCCACTTATGCCGATGACGTCGTAGTCCTCTCAGCAAACTGTCGGCAAGCAGATGCGTTAGCTCAGCAACAAGCATATATGGACAAATTAGCTCTGTGGGCGAAGAAATGGTGCATTACAATAAACACTAGTAAAACTATGCACATTATGCATACTTACAAAAGGATATCGCCATACCAGGATATCCGCATTGGCAATGAAGCAATTAAAAACGGCACTTCACATCCTTATTTGGGTGTCACTATGGACACAAAGCTGCACTTCGGCACTCATGTCACCACTGTCGTCTCGAGGATTAGGGCACGGCTGAATAAGATAGATTGGCTGATTAATAAAAATAGTAAATTGTCTCTAAAAACTAAAACGATAATTTACAAACAACTAGTTGCGCCACTGTGGCAATATACTATACCTGTCTGGGGTGCGCTCCTTTCCGAAACTCAGTTCGACCGCATCAGAGTTGCACACAACAGAGCACTGAGAACCATATCTGGCGCTCAATATTATATTTCAAATGCTCGCATCAGATCTGAGCTGGGCGTCTTATCTGTGGATGAATTATTTAATAATATTTGCATTAAATATTATGATAGACTGCGAGTACACAGCAACAATGAGGCTAGAAGCATAGCCCACTATCCGTTTGTACCACAGCGGCTAACTATGCCCAGATACTCTAGCCTCGTCAATACTCACCTGGCTAACGAAATCGAGTTGCGCGCACAGCGACAACAGCGAAGACAAGCGGAGTTCGACGAGGAGCTACACGCTAATTATCTTCGCCGACATCCGCCCGTATACGGCCCGATAACTTTTCGCGAGCACAGCCGCAACATTTTAGCAGAGAGATTCACGAGGTCATATCCGGCCTCAACCCGCAACTCCAGCGAAAATCTTCGCAGAATGGCAGCGCGACGCAGAAATGAGGCTCGTCGCAACGGCGCGCCATCGTATGACGCAGTCCCACACACTCCCACCTCTGGGGCGACACAAAATATAGGTGACGCTACTGCCTCGCAGTCGCGCCTGCCAATCTTTCGGCAACTGGCGCCACTGCCACCCACAGCGAGCACTTCGCGCACACACAACACAAATCCAGGAGATTCTTCGGCCGATGCAGGCTGGTCCTTCCCCAGCAACTGATTGCAAGCATATACGCTAAAAAAGAACATAAATCTGCATTAAAATTCAAATTGGCCATTGGTATATGCAAGCAACTTACCTGGAAACTGGTCGTCCTCACATATCCTATCTGCAAAGGGTATCCTAACAAATAAAACTCAAATTGAATTTTATATTCAATTAAAGTTTTATTTGGCACGTATGCACATACACACATGCAGCAAAACAACACTACAATGCACTGGCTTAAACTACACAATCAACTTAACTAAACTGGCGGCACTGCTCGGTGATTGGGATGTGGAGTCTTCTCAGCTGCTACCTCTCGTTCCACCGGATGATTCCCTGCAAATAAAAACAAAACAACATTAAGTATAAACACTTATATATATATATGTATAATTAACATTACCTCGCAGCCATTTTGCGTCACTCACTTCTTCGGCCTGTCGAACACACGTTCACTTGCACTTGGGAGAAATTGCTGAAACAGATGAATAATTTATTAATTAATATCTAATTATTAATAATTATCTCAGTATTCTTATTAGAATCCATACTCATCTCTTTCAGTTGCAACTTTTGCAATAAATTGCACTCTGCCTTTTCATCATATGTTCTTCAAACATATGTTTTTATCTGTGCATATCGATATGCATACCAGGGGTGCACAACCTCTCTTCGCGATTGTTTTTTTTTTTTTTGATAGTTCTATAAGACAAAATGAAAAGAAAAACTTATTGGAATTCAAATTTATTATTTCTTAATCAACTATAAACTATATTATTCCAAATTAAAAATAATATTAGTAATATTGCAACTGAAACCACATATGTGATAGCACTTGTGATATTTTTGCACAAATATCGCTATGAAATGAATATATAAGAATATTAATGAAATGAAAGCTTACCATTTAATAAATAATTATTAGCTATAATAGTATATACTAGTAAATTTTTAAGCACTATTACTCACATTTTATAACTAATTGTAAATTCCCATTGCCATTTATGCATTTTTCGATAATTACCTTTTGTTTTGATTTATGCATCCCGATAAACGTATAAACGCACAGCTGCACAATCTCTCCTAAATTGCACTTGCGGTTTAATTTAACTTTTTAGACTGAAATAAAGGTGATAAAATGAAAAGAATTATAGATATAAGTTCAAGAATTTAATTAAAAGTTATATTAGCTTAGACAAGTATGGAGAAAATGACCGGACGATGTCCCGACTCTTCTCTCTAAATCCAATTAGCGGATCTTCTCACTGCTAAGTTTGTTGCGCATCTTATAGGTGTTCCTACAAATAGAATTAAAAGTAAAATGAATTAATTAATTGTATCAATTGTTATTGTTTTAATCTACATAATAATTATAACTAAACCTACTCAATAGTTTTAAACTAGTTATTTAAGCACATCAAATGTTATTCATTTTTGTTTTTGATCTGCTCTTTTGTATAATATGTAACGCAATGCTGCACAGCAATTTAATGTTGCACTTGCGACTATTTAAACAGCTCATGTGAGCAAGTTTCGGCTAATATCGACCTAAGTAACTTAAGGCGCCATGTAAATTCAAAAAAAATGCTAACGAAGAGTATTATATGAATAAAGAATATCACTCTATTCTCTCCTCCTCTCCATTTAGCTGCTGGTCAGCTGTTATGGGCGAGAATGGAGGAAAGAGAGATTATTAATGTGTGTTCTGTCAAGGCATACAAACAGAAAAAACAGAAAAGACGATCAACATGCCAGCTGGCGATTTAGAAGTCGTAGCCGTAGTAATGCTCGGCTCACTGTTAATAATGATAGCGATATCAAAACATTAAATGCAAAGTTTGATACCTTAATTGAGTTAATGCTTGATGAGCGCAAACGATCTGTTCCCATGGAAGTCAGTAGTATAGAAAATCTTAATGCGAAGATGGATCAGCTTATTACTATGTTGACTTTATTAACAAACTGCATGATGGCTAAACACGTCAATGACACATCCAATATTGCCTAGTTCTCTTGGAAGCACTTACACATTAAGGATTCTGGTTTTGAATGCAGCTGGTCTGTATAATAAACTGGAAAGATTTTGAATCCCAAACAGGATACCAGTTCCAGAAGAGATGACGTTTCCAGACAGGATGCCATTCCTAATCAAGATATCTATACATTCACTAACACATAATTAATCAAACTACTTTTGTATTTCACTTCACATTTAATGTAACACTCACATTTGAGACCTACACACAATAGGCGTCAACAAATTTACTATATTATACAGTAGTATAGCAGTAAATAAATAAATATAGTCAGTCAGTCAGCCTCATGCGGACCTGACTATTCAAATCAAAAAAAAAAAAAAAAAAAAAAAACTTACACATTAAGGATTCTGGTTTTGAATGCAGCTGGTCTGTATAATAAACTGGAAAGATTTTGAATCCCAAACAGGATACCAGTTCCAGAAGAGATGACGTTTCCAGACAGGATGCCATTCCTAATCAAGATATCTATACATTCACTAACACATAATTAATCAAACTACTTTTGTATTTCACTTCACATTTAATGTAACACTCACATTTGAGACCTACACACAATAGGCGTCAACAAATTTACTATATTATACAGTAGTATAGCAGTAAATAAATAAATATAGTCAGTCAGTCAGCCTCATGCGGACCTGACTATTCAAATCAAAAAAAAAAAAAAAAACCTACACACAATAGGCGTCAACAAATTTACTATATTATACAGTAGTATAGCAGTAAATAAATAAATATAGTCAGTCAGTCAGCCTCATGCGGACCTGACTATTCAAATCAAAAAAAAAAAAAAAAAAAAAAGTCAGCAAGTACTGCAGCGTCAACAAAATGCTCAACCAGTACCTATAAATCTGAACAATCAACACCAACGGTCACTTCAGCAGTTGCGCCAAATTCGATCAAATGATGGTCATGGACATGAAGACGATCAACATGCCAGCTGGCGATTTAGAAGTCGTAGCCGTAGTAATGCTCGGCTCACTGTTAATAATGATAGCGATATCAAAACATTAAATGCAAAGTTTGATACCTTAATTGAGTTAATGCTTGATGAGCGCAAACGATCTGTTCCCATGAAAGTCAGTAGTATAGAAAATCTTAATGCGAAGATGGATCAGCTTATTACTATGTTGACTTTATTAACAAACTGCATGATGGCTAAACACGTCAATGACACATCCAATATTGCCTAGTTCTCTTGGAAGCACTTACACATTAAGGATTCTGGTTTTGAATGCAGCTGGTCTGTATAATAAACTGGAAAGATTTTGAATCCCAAACAGGATACCAGTTCCAGAAGAGATGACGTTTCCAGACAGGATGCCATTCCTAATCAAGATATCTATACATTCACTAACACATAATTAATCAAACTACTTTTGTATTTCACTTCACATTTAATGTAACACTCACATTTGAGACCTACACACAATAGGCGTCAACAAATTTACTATATTATACAGTAGTATAGCAGTAAATAAATAAATATAGTCAGTCAGTCAGCCTCATGCGGACCTGACTATTCAAATCAAAAAAAAAAACCATTTTCGCGCCCCTCTGCACTTTGTATGGTAGCAGCTGATTATATATAAAGATAATAATTAATTAATATTAATTATTAACTTTATTAATATCACTTTTACAATTGCTAATTTTTATTTTGCAAAACTCACCTGCTAGTCAGCTTGCACTTAATGCAATTCCGCTGTCTACAGTATTGCGCCCGCCTGTATTTCGTATGCTAGCAGCCACATATACATAAAAAGATAATAATTAATTAATATTAATTGTTCATATAATTAATTTCACTTATTTATTTATTAATATTTAAACTTACCAATCAGCAGCATAAAATTTGCATGTAATGCAATTCCCAATCAGCTGTTTTTTGTTTTTGTTTTGATTATGCACTCCGATAGGCACAATGCCAGGGGTGCATCGTCACTTACTCAGTTACTCTTGCGATATATCGAATGAATATTAATGAAATCAAAACTGCCAAAATGAATTGTTAAACTATTTTTATTTAATTATCTATATTAATTATCATAAACATTTTGTAATTTAAGTTAATTTTAGCTTAATCCCATGTTGGAGAAAATGACCAGACTTTGTCTCGAATTTTCTCTATTATTCCAATCGGCCGCTTTGGGCTATTTTCTCTGTGCATCTTGTAGATGCTTTTTAATGGAAAAAAAAAAAAAAAAAAAAAAATTATATTAATTAATGCCATTAATTACTATTGTTAAACTTATATCTTACTTATCTATTTAGTCGTTTATTAGTTACTCAAGCACTTTATTGTTAATTTGTATTATCTTTAAATTGCTCTTTTATAAGTATTTTGTAACATTAAGCTGCACTGTTATTTTTGTGCTCTTATGGCCATTTAAATTGATTCATTTAATGAAAAGTTTCGGTAAATATTGACCTTTTGTATATTTTTAAGTATCTTATAGGCGCTACTCATATTCTTAAGAAATGCTATTGTAAAGTATTGTTTGAATAAAAAGTATCTCCGTACCCTCTTCCCCTCGTCATGCAGCTGCAGGTCAGCTGATCATGAATGAGATAGGAAGGGATGGGGATCATTATTGTGTGTTCTGCCTAGACATACAAACAGAAAAAAAAAAAACCAACGGTCACTTCAGCAGTTGCGCCAAATTCGATCAAATGATGGTCATGGACATGAAGACGATCAACATGCCAGCTGGCGATTTAGAAGTCGTAGCCGTAGTAATGCTCGGCTCACTGTTAATAATGATAGCGATATCAAAACATTAAATGCAAAGTTTGATACCTTAATTGAGTTAATGCTTGATGAGCGCAAACGATCTGTTCCCATGAAAGTCAGTAGTATAGAAAATCTTAATGCGAAGATGGATCAGCTTATTACTATGTTGACTTTATTAACAAACTGCATGATGGCTAAACACGTCAATGACACATCCAATATTGCCTAGTTCTCTTGGAAGCACTTACACATTAAGGATTCTGGTTTTGAATGCAGCTGGTCTGTATAATAAACTGGAAAGATTTTGAATCCCAAACAGGATACCAGTTCCAGAAGAGATGACGTTTCCAGACAGGATGCCATTCCTAATCAAGATATCTATACATTCACTAACACATAATTAATCAAACTACTTTTGTATTTCACTTCACATTTAATGTAACACTCACATTTGAGACCTACACACAATAGGCGTCAACAAATTTACTATATTATACAGTAGTATAGCAGTAAATAAATAAATATAGTCAGTCAGTCAGCCTCATGCGGACCTGACTATTCAAATCAAAAAAAAAAAAAAAAAAGCATACGAGTCGTACACAACAAAGCTCTGAGAGCCATTTCTGGTGCTCAGTACTTTGTTTCGAACGCGCGCATCAGAGCTGAGTTGCAAGTCCTGTCTGCGGATGATATATTCAACAATCTCTGCGCCAAATACTATGATCGACTCCGGGTCCATACCAACAACTTGGCCAAAAACATTGCCTATGACCCGTTCATCCCACAGCGGATAACATTGGCAAGATACACGAGTCTCGTAAACACGCATTTGGCCAATGACATTGCTCTACGCACCCAGCGACTACTACAACGGGAGGCCGATGAAATAGCTGAAAGTAGGGAGCGATTCCTTCGCCGACGGGAGGCTCAGCAACACAACGAAGCTGCACAAGCAGCAGCCCAACAGCCGCAACGACTACCTGTCTTCGAGGGTATTGCGCCAATGCCGCTGCCACTACCACCACCATCACCTCTTGCTGCCTATAGGGTCCTATTTAGATCACATAGGGATCAGTCATAAAATTTGCATTTAATGCAATTTCCAATCAGCTGTCTTAACTTTTTGTAATTTAAGCTAATTTTAGCTCAAGCCCATACTTGAGAAAATGACCAGACTTTGTCTCGACTTTTCTCTTTTATTCCAATTGGCCACTTTGGGCTACTTTTCTCTGTGCATCTTGTAGATGCTTATTAATGAAATAATTGAATTATATTAATTAATGCTATCTATTACTATTGTTAAACTTAAACCTTACTTATCTATTTAGTCGTTAATCAGTTACCCAAGCACTTTATTGTTAATTTCTATTATCTTTAAATTGCTCTATTATAAGTATTTTGTAAAATTAAGCTGCACTGTTATTTTTGTGCACTTATGGCCATTTAAATTTAATCATTTAATGATAAGTTTCGATAAATATAGTCCTTTTTTAGATTTTAATTATCTCATAGGCGCTATTTATATTCATAAGAAATGCTATTGTGAAGTATTAATTGAATAAAAAGTATCTCCGTACTATCTTCCCCTCGCCATGCAGCTGCTGGTCAGCTGATCATGTATGAGATGCGAAGAAGCGGAGATCATCAATGTGTGTTCTCTTGTAACATACGAACAGAAAATGAAGTTGAAATTGAGGCTAAACCCAACAATAGTAGTATATTAGTTACTACCTTGCTGGGTCATCAGGAGGTCAAGATAGAGAAATCACTGCATAACATAGATGCTGTGCAGTGTCACCGTTGTCAAAAGTTTGGACACACCAAAAATTATTGCCGCAGACCTTTTATCTGTGTAAAATGTGGTAATAACCATCCATCTACTGAATGTCCACGTCAGAAAGGGAGCTTAAGCCAGCCACCTAAATGTGCAAATTGCCTTGGCGAGCATGTTGCCAGCTATAAAGGCTGCAAGTCTTTTAAAGAAGCATGCAAAATCAAGGAGTCAACAAAATTGCAACAAGCAAATAGGCTTGTGGTTGATTTGATGCATCAGGGTAGCCTTAGCAATAGTGCTGCTACTGCTAAAATCATTAATCGACATATTGACAATTCTAAATCAACCAAATCTGCTCAGTCGTCAAAACATCTGACAATACAGCAAGTAATGCGGAACCATCAAGCTAAATTGCAGCAGCAAGCTCAAGAGCCTCGAGTGGTTCCCACAAATATGTCCAAGCAATCGCAGCAACAAGGTCAAAAGTCTGCTGGCCTGCTTTCAGCTAAATTGGTAGAAAAATCGAGTTATGCTGATGCAATAAAAATGGGCATAACTAATAAGCAAAAACCATCTACTGCAGTAAAAACGCAACAAGGTCAGCAAGTACTGCAGCGTCAACAAAATGCTCAACCAGTACCTATAAATCTGAACAATCAACACCAACGGTCACTTCAGCAGTTGCGCCAAATTCGATCAAATGATGGTCATGGACATGAAGACGATCAACATGCCAGCTGGCGATTTAGAAGTCGTAGCCGTAGTAATGCTCGGCTCACTGTTAATAATGATAGCGATATCAAAACATTAAATGCAAAGTTTGATACCTTAATTGAGTTAATGCTTGATGAGCGCAAACGATCTGTTCCCATGAAAGTCAGTAGTATAGAAAATCTTAATGCGAAGATGGATCAGCTTATTACTATGTTGACTTTATTAACAAACTGCATGATGGCTAAACACGTCAATGACACATCCAATATTGCCTAGTTCTCTTGGAAGCACTTACACATTAAGGATTCTGGTTTTGAATGCAGCTGGTCTGTATAATAAACTGGAAAGATTTTGAATCCCAAACAGGATACCAGTTCCAGAAGAGATGACGTTTCCAGACAGGATGCCATTCCTAATCAAGATATCTATACATTCACTAACACATAATTAATCAAACTACTTTTGTATTTCACTTCACATTTAATGTAACACTCACATTTGAGACCTACACACAATAGGCGTCAACAAATTTACTATATTATACAGTAGTATAGCAGTAAATAAATAAATATAGTCAGTCAGTCAGCCTCATGCGGACCTGACTATTCAAATCAAACCAAGTAGACTTGATTCGGATGATGAAGAACACCCGGAAGCTACTTGCAAAACTAAAACTAAAATAAGTGATTCAGCTACGAATCAGTCAACAATTACCAATAAGGAAAGTTCAAGGCCACCTTCCATATATATTCCGGATGTTCCTATGATCATTCCATTCATTCAAGGGATCAATAAAGTTATTGATCATACCTCTTATTTTGTAAAGACTACCTCAGGACGTGGATTGCGCATTCAGTGCCTTAGCATTGACTCCTATAGGAAGCTTATTCATCATTTTGAAGACATAAACCTAGAATCTCATACTTTTCAAATCAAGTCTGAGCGTGGATTCAGAATTCTTATTAGACATTTACATCGAAGTACACCAATTGAGTGGATCAAAGAGGAGTTTGCTAAACTGGGGCATACAGTTCGATATGCAAATAACATCAAAAAAGGTTCTCTGGCCAACCACTTGACTTATTTGAAGTTGAAATTGAGGCTAAACCCAACAATAGTAGTATATTAGTTACTACCTTGCTGGGTCATCAGGAGGTCAAGATAGAGAAATCACTGCATAACATAGATGCTGTGCAGTGTCACCGTTGTCAAAAGTTTGGACACACCAAAAATTATTGCCGCAGACCTTTTATCTGTGTAAAATGTGGTAATAACCATCCATCTACTGAATGTCCACGTCAGAAAGGGAGCTTAAGCCAGCCACCTAAATGTGCAAATTGCCTTGGCGAGCATGTTGCCAGCTATAAAGGCTGCAAGTCTTTTAAAGAAGCATGCAAAATCAAGGAGTCAACAAAATTGCAACAAGCAAATAGGCTTGTGGTTGATTTGATGCATCAGGGTAGCCTTAGCAATAGTGCTGCTACTGCTAAAATCATTAATCGACATATTGACAATTCTAAATCAACCAAATCTGCTCAGTCGTCAAAACATCTGACAATACAGCAAGTAATGCGGAACCATCAAGCTAAATTGCAGCAGCAAGCTCAAGAGCCTCGAGTGGTTCCCACAAATATGTCCAAGCAATCGCAGCAACAAGGTCAAAAGTCTGCTGGCCTGCTTTCAGCTAAATTGGTAGAAAAATCGAGTTATGCTGATGCAATAAAAATGGGCATAACTAATAAGCAAAAACCATCTACTGCAGTAAAAACGCAACAAGGTCAGCAAGTACTGCAGCGTCAACAAAATGCTCAACCAGTACCTATAAATCTGAACAATCAACACCAACGGTCACTTCAGCAGTTGCGCCAAATTCGATCAAATGATGGTCATGGACATGAAGACGATCAACATGCCAGCTGGCGATTTAGAAGTCGTAGCCGTAGTAATGCTCGGCTCACTGTTAATAATGATAGCGATATCAAAACATTAAATGCAAAGTTTGATACCTTAATTGAGTTAATGCTTGATGAGCGCAAACGATCTGTTCCCACGAAAGTCAGTAGTATAGAAAATCTTAATGCGAAGATGGATCAGCTTATTACTATGTTGACTTTATTAACAAACTGCATGATGGCTAAACACGTCAATGACACATCCAATATTGCCTAGTTCTCTTGGAAGCACTTACACATTAAGGATTCTGGTTTTGAATGCAGCTGGTCTGTATAATAAACTGGAAAGATTTTGAATCCCAAACAGGATACCAGTTCCAGAAGAGATGACGTTTCCAGACAGGATGCCATTCCTAATCAAGATATCTATACATTCACTAACACATAATTAATCAAACTACTTTTGTATTTCACTTCACATTTAATGTAACACTCACATTTGAGACCTACACACAATAGGCGTCAACAAATTTACTATATTATACAGTAGTATAGCAGTAAATAAATAAATATAGTCAGTCAGTCAGCCTCATGCGGACCTGACTATTCAAATCAAAAAAAAAAATATCTAATTATTAATAATTATCTCAGTATTCTTATTAGAATCCATACTCATCTCTTTCAGTTGCAACTTTTGCAATAAATTGCACTCTGCCTTTTCATCATATGTTCTTCAAACATATGTTTTTATCTGTGCATATCGATATGCATACCAGGGGTGCACAACCTCTCTTCGCGATTGTTTTTTTTTTTTTTGCGATAGTTCTATAAGACAAAATGAAAAGAAAAACTTATTGGAATTCAAATTTATTATTTCTTAATCAACTATAAACTATATTATTCCAAATTAAAAATAATATTAGTAATATTGCAACTGAAACCACATATGTGATAGCACTTGTGATATTTTTGCACAAATATCGCTATGAAATGAATATATAAGAATATTAATGAAATGAAAGCTTACCATTTAATAAATAATTATTAGCTATAATAGTATATACTAGTAAATTTTTAAGCACTATTACTCACATTTTATAACTAATTGTAAATTCCCATTGCCATTTATGCATTTTTCGATAATTACCTTTTGTTTTGATTTATGCATCCCGATAAACGTATAAACGCACAGCTGCACAATCTCTCCTAAATTGCACTTGCGGTTTAATTTAACTTTTTAGACTGAAATAAAGGTGATAAAATGAAAAGAATTATAGATATAAGTTCAAGAATTTAATTAAAAGTTATATTAGCTTAGACAAGTATGGAGAAAATGACCGGACGATGTCCCGACTCTTCTCTCTAAATCCAATTAGCGGATCTTCTCACTGCTAAGTTTGTTGCGCATCTTATAGGTGTTCCTACAAATAGAATTAAAAGTAAAATGAATTAATTAATTGTATCAATTGTTATTGTTTTAATCTACATAATAATTATAACTAAACCTACTCAATAGTTTTAAACTAGTTATTTAAGCACATCAAATGTTATTCATTTTTGTTTTTGATCTGCTCTTTTGTATAATATGTAACGCAATGCTGCACAGCAATTTAATGTTGCACTTGCGACTATTTAAACAGCTCATGTGAGCAAGTTTCGGCTAATATCGACCTAAGTAACTTAAGGCGCCATGTAAATTCAAAAAAAATGCTAACGAAGAGTATTATATGAATAAAGAATATCTCTCTATTCTCTCCTCCTCTCCATTTAGCTGCTGGTCAGCTGTTATGGGCGAGAATGGAGGAAAGAGAGATTATTAATGTGTGTTCTGTCAAGGCATACAAACAGAAAAGACGACTTAATACGGACCACCAGGACTGAGGACACGCAGCGAGAGGCAACTTGCCTTGCCAATGAAGTTTGTACAGCTGCAAAAGTGCAAACTATGCCACCTAATGCTGCCGCTGCAGCTGCTACTACTGCTGCCGCTGTTACTGCTGCAGCCGCTGCCACTACAACCGGAGCCAGCCGTGCGCAACCGAGTGCAAAGCCAGCGCCGCTATTTATCGCCAACGTGACGGATATTATGCCTCTGCTAATACGCCTGGATGACGCTATTGGCCAGGACAATTACTCCACCAAGCCTGCTGCTAACCACGGCATTCGTGTCCAGTGCAAGGACGTCGCCACGCACCGCAAGCTGGTAAGATATCTCGACGCAAATTCAATTGAAAATTACACATTTCAATTGAAGTGCGAGCGCGGCTATAGAGCTGTTATTCGGCATCTGCACTTCTCCACTCCGGATCACTATATCCGTGAGCAGTTGGCCAAGTTAGGGCACGAAGTCCGCTTTTTAAGAGGCATTAAGTCTCGATTTACAAAAGAGCCTCTCGATCTCTTTGAGGTTGAGTTAGCCGTCAGCGCAAACAACGCAGAATTGCTGCAAATTACGGCCATTGGCAACCAGCGTGTCAAAATTGAGCGGCCGTATAAAACTAATGAAATTGCTCAATGCCATAGGTGCCAAAAATTCGGGCACACAAAGAATTATTGCCGTCGCCCCTTTGCCTGCGTCAAGTGCGGCGCCAATCATGCTTCCACGGACTGTGGCAAGCAAAAAGGCGACCAAACTCCAGCAAAGTGTGCCAATTGCTCCGGCCCACATGCCGCGAGCTACAAAGGCTGCCCTGCGTATAAAGAAGCGTGCAAGAAGCGTGAAAATGAGAGTGCTACGCAGCTAGCAAAGATAATTAACACTCTAGCTAAGCCTGCTCCGACTGTAACTGCTCAGAGCAGTCGAGTAAACATGCCAAATATGTCTAATATGCCAAATCTTTTGCAGCAAGCCCCCCCTCAGTCACGACCGCAAACTGTTAGTGCAGGGCCCAGTTATTCGGCTGCTCTTCGGGCGGGCCTTCAATTTGCTCAGCCTGTCGGACCGGCAGCTATTAGCAGCAAACAGCGTCAGTCTAGGCAAAAAGCCACCAAAGTTAGCCAGCAACAACAACAACAGCAGCAACAACAACAACAGCAACAAGTTCGTTTGCCTAGGCAGGCAAGTGCGCAGCGGCCGCCGCAGCCAAAACGTAGCCGTAGTCTGAGTACGCGCCGTAGGCATCCGCAACCAATAGATGGGGGTGCGCATCCAGCTAGTGGGGGTGTTCATTTTCAACGTTTCGAGCAGCCAATGAATGCGAATGTGCCAAGTATGCCAGTGCAAGTTAGCTTTAGATTAGAGGCTAAAATAGACAAACTCATTGAGATGATGACCACACTCACGGCCTGCCTGTTGGCCCAATTTGGTCCCAATGAGCGCTTAAATGTCTAACAATGTAACTACTTCCCCAAATACCAGTAGACGCAGCGCTGCACTGCAGCCTGCTGTATCTCAACGTGTCAACAACATGAACATATCTTTTGGAATGCTGCCGGTGTCAAGAAAAAGCTTAATGAGCTCAATCTATATCTCGTCAAGCACGATATAGACATAATGCTAGTGTCCGAGACGCATCTGACTGATAGCGATAGCATTGCTATTAATGGCTATATTGTTTATTTAGCAAATCACCCCTCAAACAGGCGCAGAGGAGGTGCAGCCTTCATAATTAAACAACAGATATGCCATTATGCTATGCGCTTTACATCTTACGACTCGCATCAATCTGTCGAAGTTTCAGTCAGCCTGCAAAATGGCCGTCATATCAATATTGTCTCAATCTTACTGCCCGCCTCAAGTCATCTGGTCTGGGCAAGATTTCAACAACCTGCTTTTATCCTTGGGTGACACCTTTATAGTCGGTGGTGACTGGAATGCGAAAAGTCAGTGGTGGGGCAACGCCAGATCTTGTCTCCGTGGCCGAATGCTAGTCAATAGTATTCTACAAGTGAATTGCAACATTCTGGCAACTGGGTCGCCCACCCATTTTCCGTTTAATTCACGCCAAACTCCGTCTGCCATTGACTTTGCGCTATTTAAAGGTATCAGGCGAGATTTGCTTGCCATCACTGACTCTTTCGAGCTTAGCTCTGATCATCTCCCGCTGCAAGTTCAGCTGGTTGAGAAGCCTGTCACCAGCAGAGCAAAAGGCCATCTACTTGATCTGAACGCTAACATCAACAAATTTCAGAGCTATCTAAACGACAAAATCTTGCTCAACACTGAGATCAACAGTGCTGACGATATTGATGATGCGGTCAAGATTTTTGTAAAGAACATTGAAGATGCTGCAAACTATGCGAATGCACAGCACCCACGCACGATAAAGAGGACTAGATATCGCGTAAATAGACAGACTCTGCAACTTATCGAGGCCCATAAGCAAGTCAAGCGCTATCTGACTCGAAGTCGCAATCCGATGCTTAAGATGCTCTGCAACAGGCTATCGAATCGCATACGCAAAGAGCTCATATATGCTAGGCAGAAGTATGAGGAAGAGCTATTTATATCTATCGATCCAACAGATAGATATAGTATGCAGAAGCTCTGGCGACTGACCAACGAGATCAAGCGGCAGCCTGCTCCAAATCTACCGCTGTTGAAGTCCTCCAGCGGCAATGGCTCTAATGCGCAAAACGTCTGGTGCAAGACAACTGCCGAAAAGGCCGAAACGTTTGCTGCAAGTCTTGAGCAGCGTTTTCAACCTATTGTGACTACGCCACCCAGTGTTCTGGCTGAAATCGAGGCTCAAGTTAGCCAGCCATCTTTGACTGCTTCAGTCTCATTCCGGCCAGTCACTGCGGCTGAGGTCACCAGTCACATCAGCACGCTAGAGAACAAAAAAGCGGCTGGATTGGATCAAATTGACAATCACACCATTAAAGCGCTGCCATTGAAGGCTGTTTTGTATCTTGTTATGATATGCAATAACTCTCTTAGATTGAGTCATTTCCCCTCGAGCTGGAAGTTAGCAGTGGTGAAGATGGTGCATAAGCCTGGCAAGCCTACGCACCATGTTGCATCATACAGGCCAATAAGTCTGCTGTCTGGCCTCTCTAAGATACTTGAGTATCTGATTTTGAGCCGTATGCTGGAGCAAGATACTCTTGTAAATGCGATTCCAAATCATCAATTTGGATTCCGCAAGGCGCATTCTGCTGAGCAGCAATTGGGTCGAGTCACCCAATACATTATTAAAGCGTTTGATGATCATAAATACTGCTCTGCTGTGTATATGGATATCAAAGAAGCCTTTGATCGAGTGTGGCATACAGGCTTGAAGTATAAGCTTAAGAGGCTTTTGCCGGATGCTCTCTATCGCATCCTCTGTTGCTATCTAGCAGATCGCACTTTCATTGTTGAGTGTCACGGTGGCTGTCGCTCAGGAATCAAGCAAATTAACGCTGGTGTGCCACAAGGTAGCTTGCTCGGGCCTATCTTGTACAACATATACACCAGCGACATACCAAGGCCAACTTGTCTGCGTGGGATTCTCATTGCTACTTATGCTGACGACGTCATTGTCCTATCGACAGACTTTCGCCAAGCAGATGCTCTTAATCAACAGCAAGCTTACATGGATAGATTGGCTGAATGGGCGAGCAAGTGGTGCATTACAATAAATGCAAACAAGACTATGCATATCATGCATACTCTTAGAGTCATAGCGCCATATCAGGCGATTCGCATTGGCAACGAAACTATTGAGAATGGCACCTCACATTCGTATTTGGGCGTTACTCTAGACACAAAACTACGATTCTCACAACATGTCACTACGGTCGTTACTAGGGTCAGGGCTAGGCTTAAAAAGATAGATTGGCTCATTAACAAAGATAGCAAATTGACGCTCAGAACAAAAGTCATTATTTACAAGCAGCTAGTTGCTCCACTTTGGCAATACTCGCTGCCTGTATGGGGGCGCTCTGCTATCTGAGGCGCAATTCAGCCGCATTCGAGTCGTACACAACAAAGCTCTGAGAGCCATTTCTGGTGCTCAGTACTTTGTTTCGAACGCGCGCATCAGAGCTGAGTTGCAAGTCCTGTCTGCGGATGATATATTCAACAATCTCTGCGCCAAATACTATGATCGACTCCGGGTCCATACCAACAACTTTGCCAAAAACATTGCCTATGACCCGTTCATCCCACAGCGGATAACATTGGCAAGATACACGAGTCTCGTAAACACGCATTTGGCCAATGACATTGCTCTACGCACCCAGCGACAACTACAACGGGAGGCCGATGAAATAGCTGAAAGTAGGGAGCGATTCCTTCGCCGACGGGAGGCTCAGCAACACAACGAAGCTGCACAAGCAGCAGCCCACCAGCCGCAACGGCTACCTGTCTTCGAGGGTATTGCGCCAATGCCGCTGCCACTACCACCACCATCACCACTTGCTGCCTATAGGGTCCTATTTAGATCACATAGGGATCAGTCATAAAATTTGCATTTAATGCAATTTCCAATCAGCTGTTTTAACTTTTTGTAATTTAAGCTAATTTTAGCTCAAGCCCATACTTGAGAAAATGACCAGACTTTGTCTCGACTTTTCTCTTTTATTCCAATTGGCCACTTTGGGCTACTTTTCTCTGTGCATCTTGTAGATGCTTATTAATGAAATAATTGAATTATATTAATTAATGCCATCTATTACTATTGTTAAACTTAAATTTTACTTATCTATTTAGTCGTTAATCAGTTACTCAAGCACTTTATTGTTAATTTCTATTATCTTTAAATTGCTCTATTATAAGTATTTTGTAAAATTAAGCTGCACTGTTATTTTTGTGCACTTATGGCCATTTAAATTTAATCATGTAATGATAAGTTTCGACAAATATAGTCCTTTTTTAGATTTTAATTATCTCATAGGCGCTATTTATATTCATAAGAAATGCTATTGTGAAGTATTAATTGAATAAAAAGTATCTCCGTACTATCTTCCCCTCGCCATGCAGCTGCTGGTCAGCTGATCATGTATGAGATGCGAAGAAACGGAGATCATCAATGTGTGTTCTCTTGTAACATACGAACAGAAAAATTTAATCGGTGCAAAAACGAATAAATTTTGCAAATTAAATTGCAACAATGCCTAGGGGCTATGTTGCAGCTGACGGTGAAGAGGATATGGACGTGGAAGTTGAATCTCTTCTCGGCTCGCCGACACATTTGTCTGCGCCCACGCCATCGAGTGCGCCAGTGAAGAAAAGTGAGGTTTTTGCGAAACCAACAACATCTCGAGCTGCGGCTCAGCTACTGAAAGCAAATGCGGCTGGTGTTACCAACAGCAGCAAAGCTGATAAAGCAATTGCTAATTATCATAAAGCCAAAGCGGCTCTCAAAAGTGGCCAGATGACAATCGAAGAGGCGCTTAAAATGGGCGCGCAGCCACTTGCAACTGCAGTTAAACGCACTGCTGAAAAGGGTGACAGCCCAAAGAAGAAGAGTGCTCAACTGGACTCTATTGATCTGGGTGACAGTGACGTAGAGATTCCGCCATCTGATGACAACAATAAATTGAATCCAAGGACTGAGAACACACAGAAGAAGGCAGCTGACCTCGCCAATAAAGTTTGCATTACCAGTAATGTGCAAATTACTCCACCTTCTACTTCTACTGACGCCCCCAACGCACACCTCTTTGTGAAGCCGGCGCCACTATTTCTGGCTAACGTCACGGACATCATGTCGATTCTCATTCGACTGGATGAAGCCATCGGCCAAGTCAATTATGACGTCAAACGCACCTCCAACCATGGAATCAGAGTCCAGTGCAAGGACATCGCCACTTATCGCAATCTGGTAAAGTACTTAGATGAGAATAAAGTTGAAAACTACACGTTTCAGTTGAAGTCCGAGCGAGGCTTCAGAGCCATTATCAGAGATCTGCACTATTCCACTCCGGACCACTATATCCGTGAGAAATTAGCCAATTTAGGGCATCAAGTTCGCTTCTTGAGAGGCATTAAATCTCGTTTCACTAAAGAGCCGCTTGATCTCTTCGAAGTTGAGTTAGTTCCCAGTGCTAATAATGCTGAATTCATGCAAATCACTGCCATCGGCAATCAGCGCGTCAAAATTGAGAAGCCGTACAAATCCAGCGAAGTTGCTCAATGCCATAGATGCCAGAAATTTGGGCACACTAAAAATTATTGCCGTCGCCCCTTTGCCTGCGTCAAGTGCGGCGATAATCATGCCTCCACGGACTGTGGCAGACAAAAAGGCGAACAAACACCAGCGAAGTGTGCCAACTGTGCTGGCCCACACGCTGCGAGCTACAAAGGTTGCCCTTCTTATAAAGAAGCGTGCAAGAAGCGCGAAAATGAAGGCGTACACCAGATAGCAAAGCTAATAAACAATTTAGCCAAGCCTGCTCCCACTGCAACTGCTCAGCGCAGTCGCTCTAATATGCCAAATATGACTAATATGCCAAATCTTTTACAGCAAGTCCCCCCTCAGTCACGACCGCA